AAGAATTAAAATTAGGAATATTGGTTGTTAAGTGTAGCGAGGTGGTGTTTGGTTAGTATTTACTATCATTCTCACTTACAAAAAGCAAAAACAACCCAGGGGAAAAATTCAAAAACCAAAAAACAACAAAAAACCCCTTTTGTCTCAAAACACACGAGTGAGAAGGCCTGAGAAAAGTCTTAGTTCCATCCCAACACAGAATGTAAAAGCTTTGAAATCTTACAAACAATCTTACAAACATATCTACAGCTTTTACCTGTAACATACATTTCATGGAACAGAATAGCCTAAATTCTTCTTTGAATAACTTTTGTATGATCTAATTTCCCCTCATTATTTGCAAATTATAAACCAGCCCTTTCACACTGAAATTATTCAATGAAAGTATGATTGGCCACTTAAAGGTAAAGATTATGCATGTTCTATCACTATATATCTTAGCTTATTCCAGCCAAAAACCTCCAGAACTCTTTTTTTGCCATTTCTCTGTAAATTACCAGACTTAGACATGATGGGTTTTCTCCAGATCCACACTTCTTCTGTAAGAAAGGCCACAGAGGCAGTAGAATGGCTGCCCATGTAAAATTTCTGAAGAGGAAATTAATCCATAAAGCTAGATTAATTTCAAAATCATCTCAAATAATTACATTTCCTCCAGAAAGGACTTTTTACACTTTTTGCTAAAATTCACTCTCAGTAGCAATAGCTTCCTGTTCACTAAGAACAAGCCAGAAGCAGCACTGAGAACCTCAGCTCTCTCATCTCAAAGAGCTCTTCCTCCATGGAAGAAACGAAGGAAATCATGGTCAGCGTTTGCGACCAGGATCCAGAATACCAGATTCTATAATTCCAGAATCCAGAGACAACCCCTTTCACCATAAAATCTACAATCTACATTTATGATAAGATGTAACAGAAGGTAAGGGACGGTAAGGTACTGGGGAAAAGAGAAGGAAACAAAGTATGTAGAATAAGAAAATAGTCAGGATGAGCAGCAGCCATAGCTTGCAACTTTTATAATTGTGTCCAAATATTGCACAAAGCATCATCAGCATCCTATTTCCCTTTATTTAACAAAAGCTATAGGTAAGCCATCAAAAAAGCAGCCTCCAACACCACCTACCAGCTGCTTGTGTCCTGAAGCCACTTCCATTGGACTTTCAGTTATTGTGAGATATCTCCCATACAGGCAAGTCAAGTCCCTCTGTTCTTCTAGACAGTTCTGTGATGTCAGATGTTAATTGTCATCAATCCCTGTCCTGACCCAGGAGGGAGCAAACTGATCAGAAATGCTCTGAAACAGCCCAGGTTCACTCTTTCAAACTGATTCTCTTTGTGGGCAGCTAGGGATTTGTATGGACTGTCTGTATATCTTGACTTCTTCCATCATAAGTACTTATGATTTTGTGTGATTTGTTGCTATGGAGAAGACCGTTCAATGAAAAATAAATGTGCTGTGACTATACAAGTTTAGTGGCAGAAGGTAAAGAAATCTAACAAAAAGATCTTCTGAGATACTTAGGAACAATTTAGTATATATTTTCCACAATACAGAACTTCTTTGCCTCAACACTACAATTACAACAGCTGTTAGTGTCATGAACTGAAACGAAAGCACTTTAGTTAAGATTAGCTTTTATTTTTCTACCAAACATGAAATGCATGAATTACAAAAATTTCCATTTTTTTTTTTTTTTATTTCTCAGTATATCTATGCTAAACTAAACCTTCTCATCTGTTCCTTCAAAAACTGCTCTGGAGGAATCATAGTTTCAAATATTGTATTAGAAATGAAAAAAAAAACCCTAAACCACAACTATTTGGATGTTTTTAGAACATTTAGGCTAAATAACAAATAGGAAAATGAATAAATTAGTTCTTCATATACTGTGCACTTGTTAAAGCAGAAATATAGGAAAGTGCCTAGATCCCAAATCAAAAAGTGTGAAACTATCTTTAAACATATGGATAGCTTAATTTAAATCATTGGTAATGGGCATGTGTTTAAATTAAACTTCTGCTTAAGTACCATGCTGAATTGAGGCCCCAGAAAAGAAATGTTATCTTTAATTTATTTTAAGCACTAAACAGAGAGAAAATCTGAGGCTGAGAGAAGTCATACAGTCGTTCCTGTTACCTCCAGACGTCCAGGTAGATGTCTACTGCATCTGCAAACAAATTTTTGTTTACATGAGAGCTGAAACGAAGGGATTATTCTTGCTTACGCTGAAGGTGGAGCCAAACCTTTCATTCATGTAGATGGAGAGGAAGACAGGCACAGACTGAGCACTGCAGATATCTTTCTTTTTGTTCAGTCCCGAACGGAATTCGCTGACTAGTCCGACGAAAAAGGAGCGCGGGACCACGTGCATAACAGCACTTAGCACCTGTTTGCTCTCTGTGAAATTAAGTAACCCCATTGTTACTGCGTCTTTAATGCAAGATATGCGCAAAATACAATACGAAGTGCTTAAAACGTTCCTAAAGTCTCGCTCTCTCTCATAAAATGCTGATGCAATTTCTTGGTGATGTACAGCTCTGACGGAAGCCTTAAGAGTCTCGGGGTTGGTCTGGTTACCAAGGTTCACTTGCACTTTGAAGTTGCAAATCTGAACAGTTTTGCCAGACACCTCTTGGGCATTAATTTCTCTTTTATCATTTCCAGCACTTCCTGTTTGGGGGTTGCTGGGCTAGGACTACTGAGGGAACAGTCATTATTTAAGAGTGTCAGCACTTCTAGCTCCATGTGGAATCGGGAAACTTACTTAGAGAATCTCAACTACGAAAGACCATGGACAGAAAAGTTACCAAAACATTCTGTAACCTTTAAAAAAGCGGTGGATTCCTTTTTGTTTTTCATTTTTAAAAATCATCCTTGCCCTAACTGATCCTTCCTTATCTAGTTTTAAAGACAACCGCTAGGACTGTTACAAGACATTTGTACAAATGTACTGGTCCACACATTATTGAAATCTTTGGGTGGTTATACTACTCCTGAGGGGAACTTGGTGAGAATTTGAAGCGCCCATGTTAGGCGAAAGAGAACTGTGAAATAAAAGAGCACCTCTGCCTTTACAGTGAGAGTTAACAGCGCTAAAACCTTCCCAAAACATGCCAAAACAACCGTCTGCAGCAGCCCGAACAGAATCCCTGAAGCTCAGCAGATTTAGAAGCAGGAATAGTATTCTCACTGTGTAGTCTTGAAGGCAAAAACATCAGCTCTTAGCCGGGGGTTTCAGACTGTCCTGCAGTATTCATATTCAGTGGAAGAGAATCTGCCACATCATAAACAAGCACATAAATACAAATGCACACACACACACACGCGCACACGCACACACACACGCATCAGAATATACACATCTGTTTCATGTTTCTGGTATGCTCTCTATTCTTTATACATGGCACAGCTAATATTTCCTAATTTTATATGATCACTGTTGTTGCTGGGCCACAAAAAGCTTAGTTTATTGGAGACAATGTATATATGCTAATGAATATAATGTCCAGCAAAAGGCAGAACACCATACTACAGTTATTATCTTCTTTATGTGCTCAATACTCCTGAGGTTTTTATTCATGTATTGATAAGAACATGATTTTTCCAGGGAAAGTAATAAAGAAATCTTATAAAGGGCTTGGAAACAGTGGAAAATTTTCACTGTGATTGGTCTAATAAACCTATGCCAACAGCTCCCTCTATGTACCGTAAAAAGATGTTGGTAAATGCATTGCCTGGAATACGTATTCCAGAGAAAGGTACTGCTGGGGGAAAAGAATCTTTTCTTTGTCATTTAATCTGTCTGCTCCGAAGATTAGGAAAATTTCAATAAAAAGCGTCAATTGGTGGTACCTACATAATTACGGCGACGTATTTTCCTTTTTAAAATTTCCTTTATTATTTACTGTATGATTCTGATTGATTCTTTCAATTTCCTGCCTAATCCCATTTTATATGCTTAGATTATTGTGACGCAGATAGTCCTCTGAGTATACAAAAAGGAACAATGCAATAAAAGGACAGTAACTAACGCTATCTGTGCAAAGCCGGCAAACAGAAGAGGAGGTAGCATGGAGGATTATCTCTAATGAGAGCTGTACGTCTGCACGAACAAGAGTGATACACTACTAAAAGAAGAGCAGCACTGTCTGGTGGGGAGGGCGCTTCAGTGGACGTCAAGAGATTTCCTTCTTCTAACTTGTTGCTTTTCTCCTGTGCGACAGCGGATGAGTCCCCTCACTCCTGTGAGTTTTGCCTCCCTCTGCACCTTATCTGTTCGCCTTGTGAAAATTCAGAGTGGGTGTGATCTGAAATATGTCCATCACCACGGGCTGTGTCTGTTAAACACAGCAGAGCAGATTACTGTAAAAAGTGATTTCTTTTTAAATCTATTTCGTAGCAGGTTAAATGGAGTTATATTAGCTTGCATTTTCCATAGGCTAAAGTCTGCTCACAGTTACTGGTACTCAGCTGACACACAGACAGGCTGTTAAGACTGCAGAAATCTGACTGCGAATCTAACCATGGGTGGTGCCTGCAGCACCGACCACAAAATTATCTTGATAGGTGCTTTGTGCTACTAATTTCTTAAAACTAAACAACAGAATTTCTGCATGCTCTTAGACCTGAATTCGGTTCAATTCCACCCTGTACTTAACTAAGACAATCTGATCGGCTTGCAAATCAGGAAGAAGATAACTGAAACTGCACACACTGAAAAAAGCAACACTTTTTTTTTTTTTTTTAATCCAGAGATTCACAGTTACTTATCGGGCGTTGGGCACGTCTGCTTGCCAAAGAGTTTATAAAGTACATTAAGGAGTCAGAACACGACATAATCACCATGTGGACGTTTATGTGGCATGGTGACTCAGAAGTGCACACCGTTATTATTCTGCTGAAGTTTAAAATTAAACATTATTGACAAGGGGAGGGGGAAGAGGAAGGGGAAGAGGAAAGGGGAAGGAGGAGAGGAAGGGGAAGGGAAATCTGGTTCATATTCTGATTCATTTCTGAAAACAATTGTGTTTTAGAAAATGTGTATGCAATTCAGCTAGGAAAACGTGATTGTGTTCATGCGGCAGCACAGAAATCTCTTCAACAGGCAGAGATTAGGATGGGTGGAAGAGGCCATGGGTCAAAGCTCAGAGAACCCTTCACAGCTCCCATTTCCAACTTTGCTCTTTACTTTTCCGTGGGTGTGCTCTTGCTTTGTGACTTTACTGTTCTCCGATCCAGCGGCATAAGCAAAGCAGCATCAGACAGGTCCGTTTTAGGCTTTCCCCTCCTCTTCCCTGCAAAAGGATCCAGAGTACAAAGCTGTTACTCTCTGTAATAATCATGGCTTTTAATTTAGTAGCACCTCCATGCTACGGTGGAGAATCTCTTTTTTTTTCTCTCTCTCCCAACAAAAATATCATTTTTGTACCTTCCCTTACTGTATTAATATATCCCTTTCCTTGGGAAAACTTGTAGTTGAATGGGTAGAGTCAACAGAGGGATGAAATGGTGAAGTCCCAATAGCTGAAGCACCACCAGCGCCCCAACCACCATGGCCGTGTACTGCCAACGGTCCCTGAACGTGCAGTGCCGAAACTACGACATTTTCCACTGCATCCCATCCATCCTGCCCACACTCTAATGTGGCTCTTTCCTCATCCCTTACTGGCTCCTTCTCGATTGAAACAGGTGCTCTCCATGCCGCATACTGCCCCAAAATACCATCTGTGTGGTTTCTTTCAGACCACTAATGCGAAGCTCTTGGATAGCCCCCTGTTTACTTGCTTTGGAGCTGCACTTACGGGGCCCACCGCCTGAAACACTGCAATCAAGCTGACAACACAACCAATCAAGGTCTGACCTGCAGCCGTTTCCTAGGAAACCCAAGCCACTGCCACAGAAACAGATTGTACACGGTGGAAGGAAACATATATTTTTTCGGGGGGAAAAAAAGAAACAAAAAAACAGCATTTCAGATTTTTTCCTGTGCTCTTGAGTTACTACAAAGCACTTCTAAAATAATAGTAATGAAAAATACTCTAGTTAAGAACAATTGAGCCAGGATGGTCGTGTAAGTACTTAAAGCCAGACAGAGAGCCTCTGAGAAAGACCATGAACCAAGGCTGCTTGAGTGCGTGTTCCTGCTTTGCTACTGAGTCACCTCATAGCCCTTGCTAAGTCATTGCAAAAATATTTCCAAGTCATCAAGTCCATAGCTCCAACAGAAAATAAGTTTGAATAAAAAGAGGCTGAGTACCTGAAAAAGAAAACTTGGAAGAAAGCAAGAAAATTAACATGACCATTTTGGAAACTTTGAGAAAATAGAGACAAGACAAGGCCACCTCTGCTACTTGAGGAAACACCACCACCACATCTTACAGTGATGAATCTACTTAGCGGTTATATTTATCGTTTGGAGAAGCTTTAAGTATTATTAGTGGAACACGTTATTCTATACTGAAATTTACAGTTTATTTGTATTATCTGTAAATCAATTTCTAGCTGCTTGAACACAGGGTGCATACGGGAATAATGATATATTCTGTAAAACAGCTGGACAGTGTAGCACAAGTGTACTGAAAACTAGGACCTCTTAGTTCTAATAAGGCTGTCAGAATGGAGTGAGAAAAAGTTCCCAGGATGATATTCACTGAAGTCTAGGTATCTAATGTGATGAAAGAGTCCTCTAGACTATCTTTACTGCCCTAGGTTTAATCACTCCTTTCCAGGGCATGATTCATCTTGTCTTAACGTAGATTTCAAATTAACCATGCTTTAAAGACATCTCTTTGTCATCTCCACTGATCATGAAGGGATCCCCGGGTGACTAGCTCAGAGGTGGATGTCTAACTCTAGTTGTCCACCTTTAGTTAGATGAGTTCTACCCATCTCTGACTAAAAGAAAGTGGAGGTTGGGAGAAGGCTGTGAGCATAAAGACTGGTTTTGGGGAGCGTAGGGAAGAAGGAGTTTGGGAGATAGACAGAGTGGCTGGGAGAATAAAATTCTCCCTCTGTACTGTTGTTCTGCTCCGCAAACAACTACAGTGGACGATGCAGGAGGCTCGGGGCTTCCTGGCTCTTGCTGGTGATTGCAAAGAAGAAATCCAAGAGATGGAAGGGAAAGGGAAGTGAGGACTTCTTCCTGTGCTCAGTGTGGTTTCATGCTGAGCCTTTGAAGAATACAACTTCATCACATACACCCCTAGGTAGCCCAGCTAACCACAATCTTAGTGTTTTATTTATGACCCAGGAAAGCCTACCCATAAGCCTGTGTGAGAGGCATACAGTGTAATAAAAGCATAAGCAAGTTCCTTAGTGCAATCAGATATTCATGGTCATAGCCAGGGACCAACTTGTAGGTCCGGGGAAGAGGCTAATGACTGACCCCTTCCACACAAAGGGAACTGTTCGGTTTCCTACCTATCCCACCTTCACAGTGACTTTTCGTGGTTTGGAGCTCTGGGCAATTGCCTCTGTTTTGCACTTAGAAAGAACCAGAAACTAATATGAAGAGACAGGATTGGACATTGGAAGCAAAACTGACTACATCAACAGGCTATTTTCACTATGTTGTTGGAAGAAGGGGAAATTTGACTTCTGGTTTGTCCAACGGTGATCATCTAAAACCTGCCACAAATGTGCTGAAGTGTTGAAAAAGCCCAAGGACATTTTGCGGTAGCTTTTGCTGAAGGTAGCCCTCAGCCAGTCTTCAGACTCGCAAGGGAATAGGAAAGGGCTGCTCTCTCAAGAGAGTAGTGCACTTCTTCCTACCATAAGGTAGGTGCAGGTTGCTCCTTCCTCAGTTCAGGTCTCTGTCAAACACTTTCTGCTTAGAATTTCTCTCTACCTTCTGGTCTTGTCACAGTCCCCTTCTACCCTGTAGTGTGATTCTACTGCTTTATGTGACAATTAATCAGAACTGTGAAGCAAACCTTCCAGCTATGATGAGACTTTTGTGAAATAGCAGATAGATCAATTAACAGAGAGGTTTTGGAGTGTAAGGAATCTCAGTCAGGCTGCTCACACACTAATACTAATAAGAAGTTAATTTTAAGAGGAACATTCCTGAGTTTGTTACAGAGTTCTTCCTAAGCCTCTTAATGTGCCGGTTGCCTTTTGCAATGGCCATGAGATACATCAAATGGATGTAGGAAAATAAGACCAGTCTTGAGCTTCAGTTATTCACTCAGTTACATGTTGTGTGTCTTAACTGATATCCTTCCCAGGCTCCTGCCATCCTGTTTCTAACCGTAGATCATCCTCAATCTCCAAGTCCGTTTTCCTCCTTTTTTCTATCTTTTCTCAGTGCCTTAACTCCTCTTGGCTTTTTGATGGGATGCTGTGCCTTTTTAAGCCTTTCTTTTATCCCTGGTGTCACCAGTACCCCGTCATACATAGCTCCATCTCAAATAGGAGACTTCATACTCGGAATCTCAAGCAATGAAAACTCATTATTCTCCTTACATTGAGTATGAAATGACTTAGAATATAATCTCTCTCTGCCCATGATTTGAAGTCAAGAACATCATTCAGAGACAGAACTGCAGGCAATGTTTTTGCAGTCCCTAGTGGCTGAGGGAGTAAAAAGAATTGAACTACATCGTAATTAGCGTAATCAACATGCTACGGATTCTCTTTTAAATCAAGAGGCAGACACAAGTTGTTGTTTATGGACTGGAAATAGTTCAAATTCCAGTTATGTCAAACTTTATAGTAGTCATTCGAGCACACGAAACACACACCTCTATGTGCTGCTCAGTACAATTTGCTCATTTCATATATAAAGTTTTTAGTAAATGATTGGTAATTTCCATTGCCTTTTTAGAATTCCTTACAGACAAATGTAACAGTGTATCTCTGGCTATCATTGTGCAGTTAATGATTAAAAGTTAGGTATTAGGGGCTCACTGTTAGCCAAACAGAACCACCAATATCTGCTGTAGGACCCAGGACTGCCAAGACCAGTTCTCACTGGTCTGGCAGGAAAGAGTAGCTGTAAAACTACAGCACAAGCCAGAACAGACTTGTATTTAACAGGCACTCCTAAGAGACTTCATTGATGTTACTGTCTCGGCTACCATCTTCCTGAATCGTGTTGAGGCATATGAGGAACATGTATAGGCAGATGCTCTGAATCTCCAGTGGTTCCTCCCTGTTTTGACAGCCCTCAAGACCTCTAAGACGCATCTGTTATAGACAGTAGTATTTTTAGTTTGTGTATGAAAGGAAGGAGGATCTAGTGTTTATTTCTGTGTCTGGATAGCTGAAAGCTGAGGTTCAGTTTCCTCTTTCACTCAAGACCTCTCCCACTAATACTTAGAAGATGTTTAAAACCAGTGATGTTGCCACATATAGCACAATTTGGATGGATGCATTTAATGTCCCAAATTTGAAGAATTCCACACTAAATAGATGACTTAGACCTGGACATTTTCAAGGTCCCTGAGTGAGACACCTATCATCACCATACCTGGATGGCTTTTGAATGGTAGGCTGTGCTACACACCAGCTCCTCAACAGCATCCCAACAAATAGGACTATAGCAAATGTAGAACTGATAGGACTGGGCAGCTCACAAAGCTAGCAGTGGTTCCAGCTGCTTCATTTTTAAATGCAGTCAGAGAAAGTGGAAGAGATGGGGCAGCCACTCTCTTTTTTTTGTGTAAGACTGCATGTTAGCGCACTCTGTGCCTCTGCTTGGAAAGGAATGCAAAACGTGAAGGGCCAAGGAACACACAAAAAGGAGCAGGTATGCTGATTAAGATATTTCCTAGTAGGAAGAGTCCTGAGTTTGTGTTAAACCCTTTTGTAATTAATTTGAAGAGCCACTGGATGAAAATAGAAACAGCTGTAGGAGCAGGCAGTTCAAACTAGGGATTTTCATTTCTATGTGACTACGCCACAAAGCCATGCTGCCACACATACACACATCTTGCCTTCTTGTCCTAGACAAAGCTGCAGACTTAGGAGGAGGGGTGGGGATAGATCTCAGCTGACTCAATCTCTGGGTGCTTTAGAAAGTGTAAGAATGGTTGGGAAATATGATTCTGAGCCTTGCAAACTAAGGGGAGGCTAGAACTCCTACCCCTCTTTAGGACAGCATTTAAGCAGGAGGCAAATATGTAATAAATAGGCATGACTGGGTCTTTCTTCTCCAGTTGTATTTGAAAAGGCATCTCTTACAGATTCAGTCCTGGCTGCGTGGAGACACTTTTCTGGAAACCTGGTGTAGATGCTGAAGTTCAGACACAACCTATATAAATAATATTTGTATTAGCTGGCTCTGTATAGCTCCTTATGCAGTATCTTCTGCCTAAGGTATGCAGCTCTTACCCAGCATTAAATAAGTAATGTGGCTGTGTAGTTTCAATCTTAGATTCTGTTTTGAGTCTGCATCCCTTAAAGCTGGTCAGTGTAGTTTGTATCCTTTATTGGATCTATCCCTGCATTTGTCAGGTGTAGTTATCTGCAAAGCAGGGATAATTAGCATTTCTAAAGCTTTCGGAAAATTGTGGGAATAGATATATTAAAGACAGAGAACTGCTCAGAGTCTGAGGCAATGACTAGGACTGCAGGGAAAGTAATTTTTTTTCTGTCTTGCTAAAATTCTGGAGAATTCAAACGTGTGCCTGCTCTGTACAGAAATGAAAACAGAAAAGATCTGTCCCACATGGATTAGGCCAGGGGATTCACTGGGAACTTAGATCTAGCCTTATGCCCATCCTCTGAGTCAGTCAGAGGTAGGTCTTGCACTTTGTTCTCCCCCATGAGTGCTCTAGTCGAATACATAAACTATTCCAGAATGAGTGTCTTTCTGGTTTTCCATTGACCTGTGATATACTTCCTGCTGAGATTGCTTTGAACACTCCTAAAAGAGGTTGGGCTGTGCACATCAGAATTTTAATGAATAATCGCTTCACTGAACAACTTGCCAATGAGCTCTAGGGATGGGAGCCTCTTTGAAGCCTTTTGCATTTCTGAAGATATTTCCACTTTGAGAAGCATTTCTCTTTTAAGTGCAGGAAATATTTTCTGGAATTACTTTTGTCCCTAAAAGCAGAGCAAACTTTCTTAAGAGTGCCCACCATGTCTAGTCAGATAGGTATTTCCCAGCACAGAAAACAAAGCCTGTCTTTCATTTCAGCTTTCTCTTTGGTTTTATCTTTCTTGGAGAGACACCTTAGCTAGACATACAAAACATAGCTAAGAATTACTGATCTTAGCTGAAGTTTAGCTTCCACATACGTTTCGAGAGAGAAATAGGAACAGATTTGGCTAAATCCACATGAAAAAGAAGAAACAACGCTCTTTACACCATCAGCTCACTTCACTAACACCAGTGCTCTACCCACTGGACAACACTCTCCTTTCCTAAAAAAACCTTCTTTGAATATAGAGGGTTTTTTTTTCGCTGCTGGAATACATTGCTTAGAACTGTTCCCAAGATATTTACTGTTATTATGCCCTTACCCATTTTTTGACTCTTTTTGCTGTTCCTCTGGATGATAACCCTGTTATTCCCCTATGCTTAATCCTCCCCTGGACTCTGCTTCTTGATTGTATGGGGGTGTTATCACTGCTGATCGACTGGCCATGTACTTTATTCCTTTGCTCTTTGTGTGGGTGGGGCATTAAATCATTGCAAAGAAGGATTAGATGCAGGTTTAGGGCTAGTAACTCAGTGACTGGAGGACTGAAATCATGCTAATTAGATATTGGCAAGTTCTAAGTAATGCCATTGCATGGTTATCATAATAATTTAAAAGCCAAATGAGTTCTTTGCATCCTGTAGCTGTTTCTAAAATATTATTTTCTTTCTCAATTCTCCTGTCTGAGTTCAAAATCTCTCTCCTTACTTGGAAACACAAACAATTTATGCTAGTCTCCATCTGCAGCTGATTGTGTCCTAGCTGCCACAAAACTCCTCTGCTGGTTTGTCTAATATTAGGCTTATTTCTTTTTTCTTTTATAGCGATAAATTCTTATGTATGGTGCCTGACCTGCTTGAAAGAAAATCACCACGTTACCTGCAGACCTGGTTTGACACTAGACAAGCATTGCAGTGATTTTCAGGAATAGTTATTCACACACGAGCCTTAACAGCTTGGCACCTACAAATCTATAGAACTTTTTCGTTAGCCCCTGTTTCTGTGCATGCCCTTAGGTCAATGAACAAACTGCTGCTGTCTATTGTCTCCCTTTGGCTAGCATCTCTAAAGGATAAAGAGGAATCACAGCCACAGACCAAAGGTTAAAAAATTCATTAAAAAATAAAATAAAATAATCCCGCAGTTCCTAGGCACCAGTCCAGCAAAGATATTTAATTACATGCTGGTCTTTACTCACATCCTCTTAGTGAGGAATGTGTTTATGAAGTTTTGGCAGATTGGAATCAAAAACTGTTTAAATTCGGCCTTTAAGATAAAAAGAAAGACTTACTAGGCTAGATTTTGGAAATGATTGTGACAATACTGATGCAGAAAGATTGTAGCCAATTTAAGAACAACTATCTAATAAGTATGGCTTTCCTTTATAGAAGGACAGATCCAGTTTACATCTAGCAGTGAGCTATGAATGCTTCTGTATCAGTTGGAGTAGGGTATCTGTGCACGTAACATTGCCCAGGTACACGGTTACTGTGTACAGCTTTCTGGCCACTCCTAAGCATTTAAAATACAATTGCATTTTTACCATGAGATTGCTTAGGAGGTACTGCCAGGTTTTACAGCTCCATTTTTTTTTTGTTTATCTCTACTAAATAAAGCCTATATGAGGTACTGGACAGGCAAACCCAGCAAAATTCTGCAGCACTAAGAAAAAAAAAAAATCTCCCCGGCAGATCTCTGCCATTCTGCCACCGCCTTTTCTATTGGTCTGGGTCTTTCCATTCTGTAGTTACCTGCAATGTTTATCTCCGGGATACGCTCTTTTACACAAAAGGAGACCCAATGCAAAGAGAACAGAAACAACTGAAAGCACCTCAGGCTAATGCAACCTTTTAGTCGAATGTAGCTTACCAGCGCACGCGGCGTGCAGCTGCGTCTTGAAAGGTCTCAGTTCTTTCTCAAGATGGAAACATCTAATATTTTTCTGTTGAAGTTCCTCAACTTAATGCACAGTGGACTGTTGGGTGACTGTGTCAGGAAAGCACAGATGGAGATATCTGGAGTGGACCAGGAGGAGAGACAAGTGAAAGTCCTAATATACAATTGAAGTGGCTTACCATTCATTAACAGAGATTAAGGTCTGAGAAATACTTATGATCAGCGAAACTGACTCCTAGCATGGGACAGACTTTGGAGCTTCCTTGCTTTCAGGGCAGAAATGTCCTTTTGCTGCTGTATATCTTTCAAAGAGGTATGCAGTCTAGATTTAATGAATTCACAGATGAAAGCTCCTTGTCATCCCTATGTAAACTCGGCTTTCTTTGCTTTGCTTTGCTTTTTTTTGCCCCCTAGAAAAAAGCTTTCTCAAAGACAGTGAATGAGCTTCCCTTGTAAGATGCCTTGTGGTTTCCTGGTGGGCAGCTACTGCTGAGCCTTTACGTTTCCAAAGGGTCTAGACCCTTTGTTGAAAAGGACACCTTCAAATTAACTCATTCTGTAAATATGTGAATTCATGAACTACTCAGTTTATTATTTCTGGGGTTTGGACAGGCCTGTGTTACTTCTCTCAGCAGAGGAACACTACCACGAAGCTACGTTATTGATGCATATAAGAAATAGGGCATGGCTGTTCTCCCTTTTGACAACATAAATCTCTCCAGCTTCTCCAAAAGCATCTGCAGCTACTTCAGCAGATCATTTTGACATCGTTGCACATCCTGTGATTGTGGTTATGGCACGTTTTCAGCTGGTGCCTGTTTAGACTGCAATATGCATATAGGTGGCAGAGTTAGCACACTTGCAGCGTTTTTCTAGTTTCTTGGAAGATAATTCTTTTGTCACTTGGTTTTGACCCCAAAAATTTGTTTGATATTGCAACTAAAGGGTTCATCCCTCTGCTAGTACCACTCATTCCCTGAAGAGTTATCAGAAATGCATAAACTACTATTTGTTCTTTGTTATTTTGTTCTTCCGCTTAGGTCTGGAAGGAGGTTGTCTGATATCTATTACGTGACAGAACATAGGTTTAAAGGATGTTAACACCCTTTCTTGAGCTTGTCAGAGCTTAAATTCTGCAGAAAGTTCTATTCAAAGGAGACTAAGAAGGAACAAAAACTAATGAGGAGAATAAATATTTCCTCTGGGTATGAGCTGTTTTCTATGGACAAAGTTTTTCTCTATTTCAGCTTTTCACCAATAAAACTTAAGGGATAAGAAAATTGTCTGAAACTCGTGGAGATGAGGGGCTCCAGTGAGTACTATCTGAAAAAAGAAGATGTTTCAGATGTGTGTCCCTGTCACAAAAGTCAGGGGTGGCCTCTAGAGATCCCGGGGCCTGCTTTTGCTATTGTTGCTGGCTGGACTCTTCCCTTGCTGGTTGCTTTGTGACCCGTGAGAAATGAATTCAGCACCCACCAACAATTATTGCGCTGACTGCTCTCTCCATTATATAATGCCATATTAACCTTTTGGATCACCTTTGACACCGGGGAGGAAATATGCACATGCTGAATTCTTTTAGATTCCACTGCAAATTTCTTTCCGGTTGCATTAGTGCGCAATGATCAGCAACCAGAAGTAAGCTCGCATTGCTGTTCCTTATGCCCTGTCTGCTCTTGGGATGACAAAGCCTTGGATACATAGTGGTTTTATCTATTCTATTAAATTCAATCATTCTCTAGTGCTGAGACCACCCTGCACGCAATGACTCACATTCACACCATTAACCCCCTTTGCCTCAAAGGCAGCACAACTCCCTTCCAATTGCCTATTTGAAGTAGTCCTCCATGCGTGCTAAATCCCAGGCTGCGCCTTGAAAAAGCCGGGGGGGTACTAGCCTGCCCTCAAGTAAGCCATGCCAGGGATTGCTCTAACAATTTAACTGATTGAGGAACATTCTCTGGCATAATTTAAATTATTAGCATCAGTGCAGCCATCTTCTCCCTGCGGCACAGCTGAACATCTGTAAAAGACCTTCTGGAGCACATCAGTGGATGATAATGTCCCAAAGTTTTCCATAAAATGATTATAGTACTTGCATCCATGAAATGCATCTTTCATATTCTGAGCACTGAAGAAATATCAGCAATGGTTGTGAGCTAGAGGAGCATTTCATTTGAAGGAAGCAAAGCAGGAAGCAAGTTTTACATTCAAAAGTTCTAGAGTCAGAACCAGAGGCTCCCATTTCAAATGTATTGGTTAAAATGTATAAATCCAGATATCACCTGTTCAGGCACATTTTAATTGAGATTCTACATTTCCTAGATTTGCTAATCTAGATTTTGCTTCCGGAAGGAGTGGTATGATGCTTAGAGGAGTGGATCACTTGCAGGTTCCTCATCTTCCTTTTTATTAGGAAAATCTTATTTTTCGGGATTGGGGGATGGGGCGGGGGGCAGCAGTGGTCATAGCTGCCAGGTTTTGTACACATGTAAATTTGAGAGTACTGTCCTGTTTATGAAAGACATGCAACTTTAGGGACTGTTTGAATGTTGACTTCAGTTTTAGACTGAAACTTAAGGGAGAGTCAGAGAAGAAAAGAAGTTACTGGACTTAGAGCCCAGGATGTGTAAAATGCCGTTCTCAGGCAGCTAGACCAAGCCATGGCACGTGTCTCAAGATGTATCTTAGGAGAAGAAGCAGATAGGATTATGATGGAAAGAATATCAGAAATAAAAGAGTACGAAATGCTTAGATAGGGATAAAAACTCTTATTTTGTAGGACATTAACAAGCACTACAGTGTGGTGGTTGGGAAGATTCACTTTCGATGGAGAGATTATGTATAACTAACTACTGCGTTGTTAGGTTAAACTTCTTTATACTTGCATTTGCTTATGTCACACGTATGGTGGTCTACAGTAACAGATAAGATACTGAAGTAAAATGAACACTAGCTTCCCTTTTTATGGCAGGATTGATGACACATTGGTCTGATATGTGTAAAATGGACATCAGTTGAGTGTTAAAAAGCCTAGGGGAGACGTCTTCAAATTTAGCCCTATTCAACATTTGCCCAAGTCACCCCAGCTGTAATGGGAGAAAAAGATTTCCTGGAATGCCTCATTAACAGCAAATTCTTTCCAGAACTGGGAACAAAAATGCACCTAATCATACAAAACTACCAGACCAAACAATTAAAAAAAAAAGTTAGCAATTTTGCCGCCTTATGTATAGAACCAAATTACCTAGTGTGATGGTTATGATCAGTAGTTAAAAGAGAAACAAAACAAGAAATGGCCAAATTAAATGGCAAAAAAATAAAAAGGTTAAAAAAAATCATTTATGAAGCAGACAGATCATTTTAAAAAGCTTTCATACCAGGAATAGGGCACCATTACAATGAGAAAACCTTTAATTATGTTGTAAAGGTCTGATATTCCACTGAAATGTCATTTCAAAATAAACTTCTAACAGTTAATTATCAGTGATATTTAACTTGTGGGAAAATTAAATATCACCACATACTCCTGTGATCATTTTATTGCTTTTGTAGACATTTTAATATTTTAATGGTTTCCAAGTAACAATGAAAAAGGCATGCCACCAAGTATGTTTTCTTGGCTTTCTGTGGATAACCATATAACCTTTTCTTTGTCTTCTTCATACGAAGCAGGCCTCTGAGTCAGTGAGGGCTAGGAAGGAGGGGGAACCTTTTGGGAATAAATATGGGAATAAACATTGCTACCATACCCTTAGGCAGCACGATTCATGGGAAAGAAGTTTTATTAGCTGTTATAAATGAAAGTATAATGCTGAATGAACAATATTCAAACCCTCTTAGCATTCAACTGGCAAATCACATGTATGTGCAGTGTTCCAGTTAGTGACCCATGTATTATCCAAAGCTTGTAAAATGTACAGTGCAATTGGATGTAAGGGTGTACGCAGTGACCCCTATCACAGACAGACGGGAGGACTGAAACAGGGAACCTCCTGTGCTGTGGTTGTATAAATCAATACTATGCAAGCTAAAGGACTGAGACTGTCAGGAAAAAGCATGAATTTTAAAGCCAGAAGGGACTATAATATTAATGACTATTCAACCAGCTACTCTGACTGAACTAGCTGTAGAAAGGGATGGGTACAACGGGTAGAGACTGGCTGGGTATCACACATTCTTCTCCAGGATGAGCCAAACAAGGCATGGCTCAATTAAAGGTATTTGGCTGAAGGACGTGGATTTGTCTCACAGTGCAACACTGAGTTGTCTGATTCTAGCAGTTGCTTTCACTTTCCAGCTCAATTCCCAACACAGTGCCACCAAAAGTTCCAAAATAAATACTATCATATATATAAAAATATTCAAATCATCCTGAGAATATTCAAACCATCACTATAAAAAAGGATAACAGACATTGGGCTTCCTGATTTTTGTGACTGTAAGAGACACATAGATCTTACTGCTGTGTTTACTATTAGCTGAAATTCTCAGCAAATTCTCAAACTCCAGAAGCAAGGGCTTTACTTAAAGATAAAATATTTTGTGAAACATGATAAAAATCCTGGAAGCTGGAGATATTGGAACTTATCAAAAGCAAAGTAACCAGTTTTTTGCATGAAACCACAAAACTGATGTTTTTGCTTGCTCCTGTTAACCTACATCCTCAGAGCTCTCCAATATCTTCAGAGATATTGAGACGTTGCATCTTTTCATGGTAGCAGGAAATACAGTCATTATTTCTTGAGCATGAAGTGAAAGCAAAAATGTCCCTAAACTAGAGCTTATAGGGCCTTAGCTGAATCTTTTATGTGCAACAGGTCTCTGCATCATTCAGCAAGTAGCTTAGTCTTCTAAGGTCACACTGTTTAATTGCTTAAATGTCTCTTAAATCCTGTGCCTCGGTTCTTGTTGTGTAAATGGACAAATGTCCCACAGAGGCATGCCGTGATAAATACAGTAAAAACTTGTGACAGGCTTACACACAAGGCGCATGAGATCGACTATTGGACTGAAACAGCAGCCAGTTTGATGTGAAATAACGCAAGCAACGGGATTTGTACATCTTGCACCCATAGAATTAAGTTTTACAGAGTACAAGAGATGTTGCTTTAGTAAG